GCAGCCTATTTCTGAGAGTATGTATAGCAGTATATCAATATTGATGTTATCAAAGGCGCCTTGTACATCGAGAAATGCCGTAAGGACGTCTTGTTTTTCTATGAATGCTTCTTCTATTTTGATAGAGAGACCAGCCAAGCTGTCCGCGCATGATTTGGCTTTACGAAAACCGTTTTGATTAGGAGGAAGAAGATTGAAATGTTCGATCCACCAAGTTAATCGATTTTTAATCATGGTCTCAAAGAGCTTGCATATGCACGATGTTAGTGCTATTGGTCTAACGCCACTGTTATCAGGTTTGTGAATGAAATGAATGAAGGACTGTTTCCATTCTTGCGGATATTTATTTGTTTTGTACATTTCGTTGAATATGTCAACCAAGATTAATTTGAGTTTGAATGGCATTTTTTGCAGGACTTCGAAATCAATGCCGTCTAATCCGGGAGATGATTTTGGATTTTTGTCATCAAGAGCCACGTTAAATTCTTCAAAGTTAAATGGGGAATCAAAAAAATCGTTTTGTTGGCAAGGAGGAAGCCATGCAGGGTCAGTTTGAGCCCAGGGTGGACTGATTTTGTTTGTTGCTGTATCAATATTGCTATTAGGCTGAAAATTTTTAGAAGTTTCCTGGTTGCAATTTTTTGTCCAGCTATTTTTAAGTACTTTGCACGTGTTCCATACAAAACCGGGGTTAGTGTGAGCGTTTAGGCTGGAAGCGAATTTTTTGAAGCAGTTTATTTTCTTAACTTTGGTTGTTCTCCGAAAAAGTGCTACATATTTTTTATACTCGATGAGGTCAGTTAGCGATTTTGAAAGTTGCCATTTTTTGAGCGAAGCTCGTCGAAGCCTTTTGAGTCGAGCGCATTCAGCGTCCCACCAAGCAACGGGATTGTTTAGCTTCTTCTGAGTGAATTTTACAGGTTTGTGGGGGGTACAGTCACGAATTGCATTTGATATTAAATCGAGAAATGAGTTGTATTTTTCGCTTGCTGAAAGTTGATTATACTCAAGTGATAAAAAGAGTGAGAAGTTTGCGTCAATGTATTTTTCGAAATTAGCCCAGTCCGTTTGCACGCTTTTCAGTTTGAAAGTTTTTTTTACATAGTGGTGTTATTGAGTATCTACGCTTATACAAATCGGAAAATGGTCCGAGCCCCAGGTCTCATCTTTCACCAGACAGTTCATTTGATCCGCGAAGGCATGAGATGACAGAACTAGATCTATATTTGAAGTTTGATTGTTTGCCATATCTATATGAGTGTATGAATCAATATTATGTATAAATAAATTTTGCTCATTTATTGCCTCGTATAGTCTCTTCCCATTTAAATTAGTATATTTACAATTCCAGCTAAGATTGTGAGCGTTAAAATCACCTAGAAAAATACAGTTTTCGCGGTTTCCAGCATTATCTAGAATGCTGTTCCATTGCGGTTGAGAAAGCGTGAGGCCTGGGGGTCGATAGCATGCGATTATACCTACTGAAGGGTTTACGCTTGTTAGTCGTATTCCGCACATTTCGACAATGTCATTTGGAAATTCAAGATTAGTGATTTTAACAAAGCCTAGATTTTTACGTATTAAACAGATGATACCTCCTTCTTTTTTGCTGGTTCTATCATGTCTTAGCGTTAAAAAACCAGGAAATCGGACGCAGTCGTTTGGTTTCAGCCATGATTCATCACAAATTATTATATCATATTGATCTTTCCTAATTTCAATTTCTTGACGTTTCTTGTTGAAGTTTCTAGCATTCCAGTAGAGGATTTTGAGAGGAGCATAATATGTTTCGCTTGCAGGATCCATTTCTTATAGTTAATTAGTTCTCCATTTCACTAGCACTCGAATCATTTTCTATAGCTTCTGTACTATTTACATTTTTCAAGCGGTGGATAATTCTTTTAATTCTCGATTTTAGATTTTTATCAGCAATGATTTCTACAGTATCTAGTAACATTTCTACGAGGCTGTTGATTTCGGTGGTGTATTTCAGCGCTTCTTCATAGATGTTAGGATTTCCATACGTCTTGAACAAAAATTGGTTAAGTTTGTCGAAGTCTATAGGATAACTATATTCGTTGTCTTCTAAAGTCTCTTTGGTTGGCAAAGTTTTGTTTGTGATATCTTCTACACTGGTGTATCGAGTTTTGTTTTTATTCGTTGTATGTTCCTTTGTATTTTGAGAAAGGTCCATTACAGAACCCGATGTCGAGGAATTGGAGCTTGGAAGCTTTCGTTTGTTTTTAGGTAGACAGGGAATAGCGAAGTTATCTTTGGGCGCTTTTTCATTATTGTCGGAGTCTTTTGTTTTATCGAGAGGAATATCTTCATTCAAGTTATTTACTTGTTCTTGATTGCGTGACAATGGTTCGTTTAATGATGATAGTTGCTTTGTTGTTTCTGGTTGAGTTGTGTTTTTATGCGGGTCAGTTGCATCTAATTCGCTAGCTTTTGGGCAGTTTATAGCAATATGTCCATCTTTCTTACAAAGAAAACATTTTAGAGAATCCGTGCTAGGATATATATAGTACGTGACGTCGTCGTACACAACTTTGATAAGATCGGGAAGTTTGTTGACATCATTAGGATCGATGAAAGTTTGCCTTCTTGAACTGAACACGTGACTGTATTCGTCTTTCGAGATAGATGCTTTAAGAGTTGTTATGGGAGCGTGACGTTTGATTCCTAAGCTTTCCATGATATCCTCGATGACATGATGAGGAATCGGAGGGTCTATATTTGAAAAAATGAGCCGCTTCTGCTTAGATATGAGTGGTCTAATAGTGACTTGGTGCGATTGTATTTGAATGTAGGAGTGTTTTTCAGTGAGATCTTCTACGAGCTCTTTCTTGGCTAAGTATAAACAAACTCGGTTCTTAGATATGCGCGTTGCATAGACTATATTAGATGGTTCAACAATTTCACCCACTGCACAGGTATAATAAATTCAAATTGTCGACACAATCTAACACTAATCCTTACTCACGTACTGGGAATTGGTCGGCTTGTGTGACTGTTGCATAACTGACACTATTTTTTGCTGCGCTGACTGTATACGTGAAAACATTTGATTTGGGATCTGAACTTTGTTGGCTTTTGTTTAGAAAAGCCATGGTGGTATGGTTTTGCGAGCGATGGAAGGCTCGCAATATTACTTTACTTTGAATGTGGGCCAAGCCCAACGATGCGGAACGTAAACACTATTTACTAAGTCACACCGAGCGCGGGGTGAATTATAAACACGTCTGCTCTCAATGAAGGCTCAGACATTACTCCCCAAGCTTGACATAAATGATTTTTTTTTGTGCATCTTAATAAAATTTCATCAATTGATGGTGGTGATTCGTAATCATCCAACAATCATTTTGTTTTTTGGCATTCAAACATGAACGTATTTCGACATTTCTTCTTTGGTACTACAAACATTGGACTGATGTAATTGTTCTTCGAAGGTCTGATAATATTTATTTCCATCAATTTTTTTACTTCTCTATCAATCTGTTTTCTATAGTGTATTGGTACAGAATATGGTTTTGAGAAAAATGGTTCATCATCTTTCAATCGCAATTCGTGTATATATGTGTTGATTAATCCAGGTTTTTTTATGGACACGTTTTTATATTTAATAATTAACATATTTAATGTGTCTAATTGGCCTGTCATTAGCTTTTGACACGTATCAATTTTTTGTTCGATTTCTTCATTTGAAATTTAGAATAGTAATTTTTATTATCAAATTTTTATCGTATCGTGATAAATTTTGGTCATTTTTGCCTATAACCTGATTTGATTTGATGTATAATAAATAATGGTCATTTGCGCCTTTATTACATTCAATTATGCTTATAGAAGCGTTCATTTCATTTTCAATGTTATACCGTGACTTTTCTGTGATATCATTTACGTAATTCTTAATTGTTTCACTTGGGTATCAATAATAATATCTAGTTTTTCTTGCGTGTTAATTCCGATTATGTAAGTTTTTATTAATTTTGGAATCACTATGTATATTATATGTATAGTATAGTATGTATACTAAGTGAATTGCTTATTTTCGTTGGTATCATGACTTGTAGCTTTAACCTTGTTAACTTTTTGCCAGTGGCTGATTTGATAAACTTTCCGCAGAGGGACAAAGTTGAACATGCTTTTGATTTTTTCATTATAGAAATTTTCTTATATAGCAGTTACTTTGCTTTCGGTGTCAATTAGTGCTTGCGCGTTTATACAATTTAATGATAACTTTATTTCTGGGCATTACGTCTATTGAATGTATTTATCATCCGGATCAATGTTATTAGCTAAATCTCCCCGGATATCTATTAGTGTAGCAGAGAACAATTCGATCCTGTTATATGGAAATATACACTTAGTTGTATCTCGCATATACTTATTTTGCGTTGTCTCCGAGTCTACAGATAATAATATCATAATATATTTCTTTCTTTCTTTCAATTCTCCGTCTTTGTCTGTCTGTCTGTCTGTCTGTCTCTCTCTCTCTCTCTCTCTCTCTCTCTCTCTCTCTCTCTGTCTTATGCTTTATTGTCTGTTTCTATCTTTTCCTTTTTTGATTGTCCTATCTCATATTGCTTCTTAGCCGAATCGAATGGGCGAAGTGCGCGTGAATGTATGCATATTTCTCCACACCCGCTGTACTCAGTCTACGATTGATATAGTGACGGAAAGGCATAGGAAATGTTGTTAAATAATGGCCTTGTTACATTTTTTAATCAATAACACCTGTAAATTTGACTTAAGTCAATATTTTTTAGTTTACTTGATCACCCTATCCTAGTGAAAAATTTGCCATACCAACCAGTATCATGTCAATTTTACTTGTTAATTAATTCATTACATTAGAACATTCACCTCAATTATCAATGGTAATGATATCCTTGGATTTACCGTTAACTTTGTTTTCTTTTGAAAAGCTTTATTACTTATTAATGAGAAATATTTTCATTTTACATATTGATATTAATGTAATAATTTTATTGAAGGCGTTCCTGGATTTCAAGACCTCTGGCTTTATTGATGCAGGCTCGCGTTGCTGCTGATACCAGTGAGTTATCTTTAAGGTTAGTGAATTTCCATTCAAGTACGTTTAATCTCTTATATTGTCAAAATGACTACAAAAATATAATGATTTGAAAATAGATATAATAAAACAAGTTCGACACTAAAATTCTGCGAGTTGTAATATGAATCGATAAACTACTTTGATTTACTATCAATGTAAAAATTTTTCTCTTTTATCGTATTTTTAATGCATATTAGTAGATATTAATAAAGACTGATTGCAAACAACTGCCACACTTAATAGTGTTGATACACTACTCATGTCTGACTTGAACTTTTGAGGTATACGAGGAGTGTTCAAAAAGTAAAGTGACTTTGTATTTTTAAGAAAAAATATTTATTTATTTATCAATATTTATGTTGTTCCCTTCAAAGTAATCCCCCTCAGATACAATACACTTATGCCAACGGTTTTTCCAATCCTCAAAACACTTCTCATAAGCACTTTTCGGTATAGCCTTTAGCTCTTCCAGCGATGCAGTCTTTATTACTTCAATCGTTGCAAATATCCGTCCTTTCATAGGTCTCTTTATTTTTGGGAACAAGAAAAAGTCATATGGGGCCTAATCCGGGGAATATGGTGGCTGTGGCATGATTGTGGTGTTGTTTTTGGCCAAAAAATCTCTCACAAGCAAAGATGAGCAGGGGCATTATCGTGATGCAAAAGCCATGAATTGTTTTTCCACAATTCTGGGCGTTTTCTTCGTATTGCTTCTCGGAAACGGCGCATAATTTTAAGATAATACTGTTTATTGACCGTACGTCCATATGGTAAGAACTTCTGATGCAATACGCCATGGTAATCGAAGAAAACAGTGAGCAAAACTTTGACATTTGATCGAACTTGGCGTGCTTTTTTCGGTCTTGGCTCATCTGGGCTCTTCCATTGGGACGATTGGACTTTGATTTCGATATCATAACCATATACCCATGATTCGTCACTAGTTATGACCCTTTTGAGTAAATCTGGATCGTCGTTGACGTCATTCAACAGTTCTTGAGCGATGGTCATGCGACATTTCTTTTGATCAAAATTTAGCAATTTCGGAACAAACTTCGCTGACACACGTCTCATGCCCAAAACGTTAGAAAAAATTTCATGGCACGAGCCAAGCGATATACCAACATCCTCAGCAACTTCTCTGATAGTGATTCGACGATTTTCCAGAACAATTTTCTTCACTGCTTGAACGTTTTCATCAGTTGTTGACGTACTTGGGCGTCCAGAGCGAGGCTCGTCATTGGCATATTCCCGGCCATCTTGGAAGAGTTTGTACCAATTGTAAACATTTTTTTTACTCAGAACAGTTTCACCGGATGCCACCGTCAACATTTCAAGTGTTTCGGAGCACTTTATTTTATTTTTTACACAAAATTTGATGCAAATCCTTTGATCCATATTTATCGATAGGAAAAAATCGCCGAGCACGCAAAACACTTATAACCTTTACGCCTCTCACAACCAAACAAAAAATGCTATACACTTGAAACTTGGTACAGATGTTCGAGAAGAGTGTACCAACATAACAAAACAAAAAAATCGATAATCGAAACTACGTTGCCCGTGCAATTTGAAAAGTCACCTTACTTTTTGAGCACACCTCGGATATCCGAAAAAACTCATGCAATCGCTTATCGATTTATTCTTCTGATTTTGTGTATAAGACTTCCAATTGACGTATCTTTAATCATGATGATTCTCGGTAATTCGGGTGGGATGCGCAATTCTAAGGTCACCATAAACTGCAATCAGTACGACGTTAAATACGATTATAACATGGTTGGGAGCTTTTATTGCATTATTTTATTTCATGGGAAAAGAAGGTGAAACAAATATTCAGATGCATTTACCATATATGGCAGAGAAACGCTACAGACATAAGTATATACAAGTGGAGAAGAGAATAGCAAACATGTTGCCATTAAATTAGAATAGATAAACAATTTATTCATTTAACTTACAAGAAGAAAACTCTCGCAAAACTCTCGCATTTATATTAAAACCGGCGTTACAAGACTAGAGGTTGTTGGTATATTGCTCCAACATTCCAAATACACTCAGTTACACCGTACACTAAGTTAAATATTGTCAAACAAGCTCCTTAAGGGTTCTGTTCTTTATAAATAAACTCGAGTAGCCCGGCTGTGATAAAAAGTAATTCCATAGTCCTTATCTTCAGGCGGTACCTACGTGATCACCGACATTACGTAAGAAAGAGTGAGAGAGACAAACAGTTAGTCATTTATGTACCGTGAGGCTAAATACAAAGTTGATTAAAATTAAAAATCTAGCGGTTGCATAAAAATAGACGTATAAGCCTAAAATAAGCATTTTAAACTTGAAGTAATGCTGAATAATTTAAAAATAATTATTAAATATAAAAATTTTGAAAAATGGAGAATTATCGTATTAATAATTCCCACGAGCAATTCCATTTCGTAGTGGTGACGGACCGTAGCGCGTTGATCCGGTTGAATGGATTTTACATTCAATCCATTTACAGTCAAAATTTAAATTTTGACAATTCTCAAAACCATACAATAGGCCCGTGCCCGAACGCCGTGTCACTAATTAATTAAAAGGGGAAGGTGCGGGAGGCTCTTTCGCTCCACTGCAACGGTGACGATGGGCGTCGTCACGAAGTTGGCGTGATGGAGGATAACTTGAGAGGAAGGGAATGACGGGCGCACACAATAATTACTCTCAATAACCTTCAACTAATTTTATTACTCATTAATATTCACAACTATAAAGAGAGACGACGCGGATTTACGCTTCGTTCTCTACGGCCGCATGCCTTTGCTCGTGCGAAAGAACGCACGGGGGCACGGTACAATAAAAGTTGAGAGGAGTTCAAAGGAAGGTATCGCCGTTCTTGCCGTGTTCGCGGATGATCGCGAGCATTTCGCCGACGCGTCACGCACTCACGAATGCAAGAAGAGAGAGAGAGAGAGAGAGAGAGAGAGACGACCTGACCTGACGAAGGCTGCTGGAAGGAACCGTTGGTGGAACTGCTGGCAGGTTAACGGCAAGCTAAGTGGAAATTCTCAATGCCTTGGGCGTCAATTGAAGCTTTCTCCTGGCCACAATCTGTTCAGCGTTGTCTCGATCTCTTGTCTCTCTTTGCTCGACGATTCGTTTTTATTTAATGCGTGCGCTCTCAGGCGTCACGATCAATCTTTTCTTCTAGGGATCTTGGCTCGAACTCTCTCCCCAACCGCGTGCGTGCCAGCTCGAGCAACGCCGGCGGCTTCGCTCTCGCGAGCGGATCGCCGCGGGTTACCGACGCTGGCTCACTCATCATATGCGACGCATCGATTCCTCTCCGCCATCTTCCACCCGCAGCCGCTCTCGCTCCTAATTGGCTCCCAATAACGATGTCCGGCACAGGTATTGACCCTGAAATAAATCGGTAATGGTTCTTGATTTCTATTACGTTCGCCATGGCCACAGCAAAGGAGCGAGTCACGGGAGAGAGAGAGAGAGAGAGAGAGAGAGAGTGAGCCAGACAGGGCCGGCCATTCCGGCCAAGGCCTTATAACAAGTCATCGATCTCTCACTGACGGTCGACTGACGATCATCTCGCTCCTCTCCGCGTATGCCCAAAGCGAACATTCGCATATGGAAAGGAAACAAAAAGGAACGAAAGGATGTATTCTATCTCGCCAGTACACGTCGAAGCTAGGCGTACTCCGGTCCTCATTCAACCCTTACATGCACATCAACATACAAATAATCAAAGGAAAAAAATAAAATAAAAAGTCTAGCAAATAACACACTACTCACAACCGCCGCACTACACCCGATCCTTGGAGAGTCTGGTTTCTGGGTGATCAAAACCCGGGGCCTGCTAGGCTGAGGGCGGATCGACCACCATCAGCGACTCCAGCACGAGAGGGATACGGCGGTGAGCTACCTCCTCATTACTATTTTTAAATCTAGAGACCCGATGCTCTTTCCGAGCATCGCTCCGCAATTGCTCAATGAGAGGGTCGGCGCACCTTCTGTTACCTATCAGGGGCTGCGTCGATTCTGGCCATTCCCTTAGGCGAGGGCGCCAATTCTTTGATCGCCATGGACTCAAATATCACCTGTGGTTGGACAGCATCGGGCAGACCAAGGAACTGTACGGGCGGAATACCGGAGCTACGAGTTGCTTGTATTCGAGTCATGATGTAGACTCAATATGTAACCGCACACCTATCACAATTGCTCACAGATACGTCATAGCGTCCATAATTGCGAAAAAATGTTCACGGATTGGCCACCTCTGGACACCGCGACCTCGCATGGGAGCCGGCTCTGCAATTAAAGCAGAGGTACGGCACGACATCCCGCTCCGCGTCAAACGGTACCAGCGCCAATCCGCGCAAAAAAGGTGTCCCTCAGCCTGTTGCCCTTCGCATCCATCTACTGCTGCGGCTCCTGCCGTGCAACAGCACGAGCTGAGGGTCGGAGCGGAGAAGTCCGTGAATTCGTGCTCGTCCGGCACGCAGAGGTGCACATAGCCTGTTCTTGATTTTCCGCCAGGGTTTTCTTGATGGATCTCTCACGTTCCGAGACTCTCGCCGGCGTTGGTTCTGAGAAGGGCTTACAGGGCTAGCCGGTCTCATTCAAGCTGGGTGTGATAGAGGAAGATGCTCCGGAAATATCGGATATCAGGAAATAAAGGAAGATCGCCCCATTGATAGTACGCACCCAGTATCCTCCATGTGACACAAGTTCTAATCCTCTGCCACACGCGGCAGTCTGTCCTTCGTCCGTCTCTCACTCGGCCACCTTTTCATCTTGACCGGATCACTCGCCTGCGTCCGCCCGAACGGGCATTCTCGAACATCTTTCTCCGGCAATATTGTGCTGCTCTTTTTGCGGCAACTAACGACTTCGGCCAATTGTTGGCCACCACTGGTGTCGGCTTGCTTTTGTTGGCCGATTCTTACTTTTAATTCTCAGAATGGGGACCAAACTGACGTCCCCTCCCTCCGAGGCCGACGAACT